ATGTCTTTCGTCGAATGCGCTGCCGAAACTATTAGCGATAGAACAAAATAATGTACAACAATATTGAAGAACATCATAATGTCTACAAAAAACTCCGCGGTAGCATATGTCCAGCTATTGTAGTTATGTCACTGCAACAATCTAAATTTCCAAAAATAAATAATTGTCCACCCCGTGCGAAGCCGGGACGGGCTGCTAGTAAGTAATATTGTGGTTAAAAAAGTGTAGCGCAGCTTAATATTTAGGGTTAGTTTACATTACAAATAACATAACATAACAAACTATCACGCCTTTTATCCTCGAAGGGGTAGTCCACTGTACAATGTAACACCCACTTTTCAATACTTATGTTATGAGTCCTATGTAATAGGGGGTGAGCCTATTGCCATATATCGGGCACAATTCCAGACTCTATGCTACTAATGAGATTTTTTTTAAATACCCAGTAGTACTTTGCCCGACCCGGGAATCGAACCCGAGACCCCTTGCCCGGTAGTCGCACTTGCGACCCCTTGGTCAACGAGGCAGTATTATTAATAACATCCGAAATGTTATTTTTAGTTGCTCCGCCTACTCCTCGCTATTTCGTTAAATTATCTCAAGAGGTAATTACAAAAACATTAATGAAAGGTTCAAGCTTGGAAAACACGCTAGTTGAAACCTGATCAATGTCGTTATTTAGACAAAGTTCTAAAAGGTTTGATATAATTTTCTATTTCATTAAACTAATACCTTACCAAAGTAATTCACAGGTTAAACAAAGATTCTATCTAGTTATACATGTACACATCAATTAAAAAGAAATGGGGTGAGACAGCGTCCCCGCCTGACCTATTTCTGCTCACGATCCCAGGTCAATATGTATATAGGTTTCCACTGGAATTTCAACCTTACACTCAGGTGATAAAGTGACTTTACGGTTTGTCGAATAGTGTTCCTGAAATAGAAACCCGAGACATTCGACATCGATTGTTCAAGTCACAGGTGGTATAAAATTAACGGTATCCGCATTATCGAGGAATCAGTGGTTTCTTCCAATAAAACGCTTGAAGATAATTACTTTGCAACCTTTTCTGGAATCTGCAGGATTGTATATTATTATCTATATCTATACTAATATTAAAGAGGAAAGATTTGTACCTATTTTTGTATGTTTGTAATGAATAGGCTCAAAAAGTACTGGGGCGATTTAAAAAAATCTTTCAGTTTGAAAAATTTGAACAATGTAACCGAAGGTGTAGAAAAATGAGTCTTAAAATGTCTTTCGTCGAATGCGCTGCCGAAACTATTAGCGATAGAACAAAATAATGTACAACAAAATTGAAGAACATCATAATGTCTACAAAAAACTCCGCGGTAGCATATTATGTCCAACTATTGTAACTACGTCACTACAACAATCCAAATTTCCAAAAATAAATAATTGTCTACCCCGTGCGAAGCCGGGACGGGCTGCTAGTCTTCCTAGTACAGGCATTCAAACTTAGTGAGATCTCTGATTTTAAATTAAGATGTTTATCTGTACCATGACCAATTTCGTATACTGAATAAAGATTTCTTTATTTATGAATAAACTATATAAAAAAAAATACGTCGGGTTTTCCTTCCTGACGCTATAACTCCAGAACGCACGAACCGATTTCCACGGTTTAGCATTCGTTGGAAAGGACAGTTTACTAAATATGAAAACACCAAACAAAATGTTACATAAAACGAAGCCATCTGGTGGCGAAATGGAGTTCGCCGGGTTTGCTAGTGCCATATATAATTTAATCTATATTAATTTAATTTTATTTATTTCTCTGGTGTTGCGGGTGTTAATGGGCGGCGCTGATCGCTTACCATCAGGTGATCCGTCTGCTCGTTTGCCTCCTATTCCATAAAAAAAGAAAAAAGAAACAATTATTATATTGGATCAAAAGTAGAAAGAAAGAACGTGTTCTTTAACTTTCTAGTTTTCAACATGTAATAGTAAACTTGACGGCACAGTTGGCGCGATGTCTGGGCAACTTACTGCCGCGCAACATATCTCGGGTTTGATTCCCGCACGAAACAACACTTTGAGTGATCTACAAATTGTAGTTCCGGGTCTGGGTGTCATGTGTAAGTGAACTTGTATGTTTGTAAACTCACCCACGACACAAGAGAAAATCCTAGTGTGAGGCAAAGTTTTTTTTTTAATTAATAAAAATAAAAGTAGTTCAATCTGATTCTACGCAGTAGCAATAATGTCAAAGAACTTACGAAAACGGTGCACTAAACGCTTATTCGCGTTTAGTTCGTACATAGGTATTATAAATCAACTTGTTGGTGATTATCTCTATAATTACAAATCGTCTATTCAAAAGCACTAGTTACTGCCTCGCGGTTTCACTTGCTGCTCGGCTCGTATTGGTCGTAGTGTGATGTTGTAATGAAAAAAAACATTATGCACGATTTTTTTTGTTAGTCACAATTAATAGTTCACTTACCATTTTTAGCTTTCTACCTAGAATATTAACGACGACTTCTTACAAACTTCCACCTCCCATTTTAGGGAAGTGGGTTCTCAAAACTGGAAGGATGTTTGCAAGAGAAAAAAGGAAAGGGTTGGAAAGAGACAAAGAGTACCTAACTTATGTAACTTTCAATCCCTTCATCTATACTTAAAAGTTCTCATTAGTTCGTCGCTCCATTTTGACGTGAAAGACGGACAAATAATTAGACACATAGTCAAAATATTATTATTGATAGATACTAAATACTGTACGAGTTTGATGATCACAAACAGTATCATGAAGGCGATTGTAGTGAATCTGTTTTGTGTGATAATACACGTGGAAAGTGATGAATACCTTAATGACACATATGAACTCGTTCAAAGGCAGTTATTGGACTTTAGAAGGAACACCTGGTGATACACGTAGAATATAGGGTGGCAGTGTGCCTGGTACACCTGGCATGGGCTGCCAACACCGCCGTATCCTCAGGGAAGTGATTGGTGACAGCAACCTTTTGCGTTCGGCTATGCTTTAGGCTACAGTGCGGAGCGAGCTCCAGGGAAGCCGCCTCCTCCTTCTGCGAAGCAGTCATGCTAGCTGCGGAACTTGTAAGGAAACGATCCTTGTCGCATCTCAGCCGCCGCAAGAGACATTGCGGGATCGCACGACGACCTTCGGTCACCATAAGTGTGGGTCTGCGGATGATGAGCAAGAGTAGATCATCGTCGCACAGAATCAGACCCGAGCGTACGGATGTTCGCGTTCCACGCCCGACTTAAAGAGCCATCAGACCACCACAGATGGAGCCCAGTTGGACCGATGCCCAATCGGAGCTGCGGAAGACCTAGCTGGTTGCCGAGCCTCCGGCTCGAAGCAGAAGTAGGAACGGAGTGGTTTTTGGTTTCTGGTTGGGTTTGATTCATATTTTATATTTATGGGAATTATTGTAGGTCTATCTAAGCAAGTATAAATACTTACTTCAAATAGTTTTACTTAAAAAATTAAAACACAGTTTTATTTTATTTATCAGGAGAAATGGACGTAACTAATGAACCCAAATTACTAGGATCCAATGTTCCTCAAGTCACCTTTTAATTACATTTTCTAATTAATTTATATTGTATGGTCACTTGATCTACATAATTATGATTGCTAAGTTTCCTGGTGATGTAACAATTAGGAGTGTGTGAAATTTTGAGTCATAGATTTTGTTACATAAGGTTAGTTAATACGGTTAAGTGAGTAGCGTTAAGATAATGCTATATAATACACGAGATCCTACAGAATCGTATACTATTCCAGAGAAAAATAAAGTAATTGAGGTTAAACTGAGTGAATTCGTAGATCGAAAACAAACTAAAAAATAATGATAACCAATTAAAAACCTCACCTAAAGTGATTACTTCACGCGATCCTCAATTAGTATACCTGCCTTTATATTGCGTGAAGTTTTTTTATAACAATGTTAATTTTGCATTTATTGAACTGTACTTGCTAAGTGCTAATGAACCTAGCCTTTTTATTACCTAACAAAGTGAAGTTTACAAATACTTGCTGAGTATAATAACCTGCCAATATGCAAATTATAAAACCATTTGGAACACGATTATAAACCATGAGGATAAAGATATTATCTAATCAATCTGTTTGGCGCTTCATTATCCTAAATTATGTCTAAATGATTATGTTAAGGTGCAACTCCTTTAAATTGTGTTTACTTGGTATTTAATAGAGTAGGAGGGAAACGTGTATACGGATCGCCGCCCATAGAACCAGAGGAGCAACTCCAGTGGAGTCACAGGTGCGTTGCCGACCTTGTTTTCAGTTTTAGTATTTAAACTGCTATAAAATGTTTGAATCATTGAAAATCATATATATTTAGTGGTCCTTCCATCTGACTTAACTTGGCTGTGTCCAGTAGATACGATAGGATAATTAGGGTGACTTTAAGCAGGGACAAATAGCGGAACACCGTGATTGTCTGCCTCATCCTTCCACTATATCATGACTACCACGATCAGAGTGGTCAAGAATGAAGCAGGTAAGAGGGTTTATTCTTTGACAAAAATATCAAAGGTAAATTGCCTTTAGCTGATACTAAGATATTTTTTTTAATAGAAACATAAGTAGAATAAAGAAACATGTTTATCGCGTTAAAATCATTCGGACCAGCAATCAAACTTAAAATATTACTTTATAGGTATTACCACTGATACAAAACCAATGAGGCGGACTATTGTGTGATCTGGGTGATTCATAAATCAATATAAGACACAGACTTTATTAATGTGATTATCAGAACCGACTCTTAACTGCATCTAGTTAAAATTCAATGCCAGCACCTACACATGAACTAAGCGTTGGTGAAAAATTAAACTTAAGTGGGGATTGGTAATTAAACAATGGATTTTGATTTATAGTTCCAAATCATGTCAGTAGTTCATTCTTATTACACGCATAAGCAACGGTTCAATGTCAAAAAACGCAGAAAAACGGCGTATAAACACCGACTCGCGTCTATCGCACTTAGGTATTATAAATAATTTGTTGGTGATTATCTGTAATTACAAATCGTCTATATAAAAGCATACTAAATACTGCACGAGTATGATGATCGCAATGAGTAGCATGAAGGCGATTGTAGTGTGCGTACTTTGTGTGATAATACTGGTGGAAAGTGATGAATACCTAAACGTCACATATCAACCCGTTCACAGGCAGTTGTTGGACTTTAAGAAGGAGCATCCAGTGAGTAAAAATTAGCAAATCAAATAGTTTATTTTTCAGTTTTTTTATAAATAAACACCAATTTGATGGATAGATATAACATTTTTATATAAAGCGTACTTTACATTTTGAATTAGAATGACATTTATGGAGTCTGTATCTGTCAGTCATAAAACCAGTCACAGACACAGCCTATTCTTACATAATCATGTATGTTTATTGTGATTTTCAGCATCCGATAGGATTGTGGACGAAAAATGCCGGAGATCCAGTCGAAATTCGTGACACAATAACGATTAATTCCGATACATTCAACAACCAGCTGCTGATAGACACTTTCTCTACATTTGATGGCGAGAGAATACCTGAACGTGTAGTGCATGCGAGAGGTATAGGAGCCTTTGGCTACTTCGAAGTCACGCACGATGTCTCCAAGTATACATCAGCTGATGTGTTCAATGGAGTGGGAAAGAAGACACCGATAGTTGCAAGATTTTCAAATGCATTACAGGGTCTGGGGGGCACTGATTTGCCTAGAGAACACAGGGGTATGTCAGTAAAGTTTTATACGAAAGAGGGTAACTTAGACCTATTATCTTTATCTATACCCGTTTATTTTTATAGAGATCCATTGTTCTTTAAACATTTGTTACATACAACCACTAGAAATCCACAAACAACCACGTTTGATCCGACAAGCGTCTTTGATTTTTTAACATTAAGACCTGCATTTGTTCATGGATTCTTTTGGGTTATGTCTGATATTGGCATACCCGACGGCTACAGGCGAATGGATGCTTTCCCCATTCACACTTATGAAATATCAAATAAGCATGGGGAGACACATTATGTGCGATTCAACTTTAGAACGGAGCAAGGCATTGCAACGCTTACAAACGCCGAAGCGGCCGCTATTCAAGCTCAAGACCCGGAATATTATAATAGAGATTTTTATATTGCGATTGAATCCGGAGAGTATCCTGCATGGAGATTAGAGATAGATGTGATGACACCACATGACATACAAAAAGTTGATTACGATCCGTTTGATGTCACTAGATTATGGAAGAACGGAACATTCTTCACCGTACAGATAGGTCGCATGATATTGAACAAAAATGTTGAAAATAACTTCAGAGATGTCGAACAAGCGGCATTCAATCCTGGTCATTTAGTACCTGGTATTCCTGGACCTCCAGAAGCTTTGTTCCGTGGTAGAAGAATATTCTATAGGGATACTCAAAATTATCGTCTAGGAAGAAACCACAACAATATTTTAGTAAACATGCCATTATACTCGAAGACGTATGTACGAGATGGAACACCACCAACTAGGCTTAACATGAAAAATGTTCCAAATTATTTTCCTAATTCATTCCATGGACCACTTCCATATGTGGATGAGCACAGACCGTGGAAGAAGTTGCAAGTATTAGAAAGTAATGCTGTAGATTTGGAACCGGCATGGTATTTCTATAACTTCATTCTAGAAGATGAGGCTCATAGACAAAGATTTATAAATAACTTTGCCAGAGCTCTTGTAGCTGTTACTCCACCAGTATTGCAAAGAACACTGAAGCTTTTACACCAGGTTGATAATGATTTGGGACAGCGTGTGACGGTTGCTCATCAAGTATTACTTGCACAAGTGATGGCGCAGCAGGCAGCAGCCCGAGCAGCTTCTGCTGCACCTAGACCTATAAGAAACCTTGTGACCTCTGAGGGACCTCCAGAACATGATAACATGGGAAGTGTTTACAAAATAAGTATTTAATGAATTATCATTATATTGATCTCAAACTTATTGGACATTAAATTCTTTTTTATATTAAGAACACGCAAAGAAATGACTAGAAAATTAAATCTACATTATGCTATGTGGATGTAAGTTCATCGTCTGTAAATGAGTATAAAACCAAAAAACTTACAATGAATGATTAAATTTTGAGGAATTGCTTTTGAGCAATAAATTATCCTCCAAATTTTGTACAATATGCGACTAAACATTAAAGATTTTTTTAGGAATTAAATTTGTTATTTATTGCCTTCTTGGTCAAGGTCAGGGTGGGTTTGACGAACGTACGGAATCAGGTATTATTGTAGGTCGGTCTTTATATGTATTCCAAACTAGGAATTGCAGTTCACACAGTTCTATACGTTATTACAATCAGAACCATTATATGTATGCAACTTCACTTTTGTAGCTACAAGGCACAAACTTTTGACCCAATATTTGGAAAGAGCAGTACCAATCGCCCAATAGACGTGTAGGTATATCAATTAAAAAGTATTGGAGTGAGACAGCGTCCCGCCTGACCTATTTCTGATCACGATTCAACTCGGGTCAATATGCATATAGATTTCCACTGAAATTTCAACCTTAAAGCTAAGGTGATAAAGTGAATTTATGGTCCATCGAATAGTGTTCCTGAAATAGAAACCCGAGACATTCCACATACATCGATTGTTTAGGTCACAGGTGGTACAAAATTAACGACATCTTATCTATTATTTATTGAGGATATACGTGTTTTTTGGTGATTGTCTCTTCCAGATTTTTAGGAGTTTCAGGGTATTACTGAGATTGTTAGAAAGTCAGCAATTAATAGAGTGGACTGAATAAATTAAATCTCAATAATTATTCAATGTCAAAACTATACCACCCTTATCGTAGCTGTTAGAATAGCATTCGGAGTACGGAATATAAAGCCAAACTCAATACCATTTAGTTCATTAATTCATTAAATAGTTGCATCTCGAGAGTTCGAAATTTCACAATATCAATGTCGATCGATCGAAATCGGATTCAAGAGTAAGCCTCCTGGTCCCATTTCACAACAGACTTGGGACATTAGTAGGTATAAACTATATGTGTAAAAGCTGTATGTGCCAACTATTTTAGCATGTGAAATAAAGTTTTTTCTTTCCTTCTTTCTTTCTTTATTAATTGTGCATAACGATACCTTAACCATGACCTCTATTCTCTCTATTAAACTTCATATTATTGGTTCTCATATAAAGAAGTATGCATCAAAACGTATAGTCTCTTTTTGGTTATACAGGGTTAGTCTATTACCATAAACTGAGAATTCTGAACTCTACAGTATCTGATAAAGAAATAAAATAATTATTATATTATGAGTTTAGAAGACTAGCTCGTTGGCCGAGTGGTCGCAAGTGCGACTGCCGGGCTAGGGGTCTCGGTTGATTCCCGGGTCTGGTAAAGATTAATGGGTTTAAAAAAAAATATCAGTAGTAGCACGGAGTCTGGAATTGTGCCCGGTATATGGCAATTGGCTCACCCCCTATTATATGGGACTCATAGCATAAATAGTGAAAAGTGGGTGTTACATTGTACAGTGGCATAATGTGCACCTCTGCCTACCCCTTCGGGGATAAAGGGCGTAATGTTATGATGTTATGAAAATTCAAACTACAGTATCTGATAAAGAAATAAAGTAATTATTGTTTTATGAATTGGAAAATCAACCCGAAGTACTTTAGAACTTGAAATCACTGTTTGAAAGTAAAGTACATAATATATTATGGCTATCTATTATGTAGGAAAACAACTAATAGGTATGTAATATACAATACATTGATGGTGTTTCAATCAATCACGCTCGATTACAATGTCAGAAGTGATGAATGACTTTGAGCGTAGCGGTCATCGGTGTGTTGCTATGAATATTGCCACAGGCGCTTTGAAATTTAATATACCTCTAGTTGTTTATCGTGTAGTTATTGCTCAAGAAAAATGAATAGGACATTATTTACTTGAAAATATTAAATTCTGCCTTGAAAGTCGAATGTTTGCGAAGTGTGACTGCTAAATGGTGAATCTCGATTCCTGTTTTAGGTATGGTATTTTTGAGGTATTTGTTTTTAGAAAAATTATCACCCAGGTCGAGTCTGCCCTTTCGTGTCGAAGCTTGGTCAGAAAATTACTCTATTATGTGAAACACTTAATGTACTAGATATTTGGTATCCATATAGCGACATATGACTGCACGGTTGGTACGGTGGCTGGGCAACCGGATGCCGTGCAACATGTCGCGGGTTCGATTCCCGCATGGAACAACATTTGTGTGATGTACAAATTGACGTTTCGGGTCTGGGTGTCATGTGTATGTGAACTTGTATGTTTGTGAACGCACCCACGACACAGTAGTAAATACTACAACGTTTATTAAAAAAAAACTTATTTACGGCCTCGTAAAGAAGCAAAGTCCTTGGTCAAGGTTACCCTGACGTTGACTGGAGCAGTTCAGAGGTATAACTTATTAATAGGGTGAAAAGCCGGTAAACGAGCAGACGGATCACCTGATGGTAAGCAATTGGCGCCGCCCATGGACACCTGGAACACCAGAGGCGTTCATTTGTCTATCCAACTATCCTATCTATCTAACTATCCAACATAGATAGAATTATTCAATTCAAAGCCAATAACTCCTGAGATTAGCGCGTTCAAACAAACAAACATAGTCTTCAGCTTTAATATAATAGTACAAGATTTGGCACAAGCGCAAAATTCTATATACCTACAATCACACAATAATAGGCGTGTCGACAGGGTAAAAAAATCAAAAAAAGTAATTAGTCCGTCATTAAGATCGCACGAAAATATCAGACACGTATTTTTTGTTTTATCAAATTAACAGAAGAATACGTAGTTATTCCGCATTAAAGTTAGGGAGTGGGGGGTGTTGACGTCACACTTACGGAGAAATCGTACCTAAGTGTGACGTCACGCGTCATTTTAACTCAAAATATCTACATGTTTTTTTGGATACGAGAAAAAAGAAAAAATACGTATCGAAGATTTTTAAATTATCTAAAAGACGGACAAAAAATTAAAAAATAGTCGCCATGCCTATTATATAATATAGATTTCATAATTGCAGATTTTGACAATATTCTGAAATGAATGTTATACAATTATACAACTTTTATAATAGCATACTTAAGCCCAGGTTGAGTGGACCAGCAAATGTGATTACCAACACTAAACAGACGATTTAAATGTAACTAATTTATATAAGTATTTACCAGCAATAAATTAAAATTCAACGTTCCATACTTGCATTAGCTGGAGCAACTAAATGCGTACTAATTTCCTGTCATTAAGAATTAATTTTAATGAAATATGGCTTTTAGTACAGATATACATTACCTAAATGTTGGAAACCTATATTTCCTTTAGTCATAAAATATGTCTTAGATATGATTGATTTATTTTATAACAATGAGAGTTCCGTGCAGTTTCGTATTTATTTGCCTCGTTAATGTTTGCAAGATCGACTGTTGAACGAGGGATCTCATGTTTAATATCTAAGTTGGTTCATACCCTTTTAGGGAGAAAATCATCAAACAACTCCTCCCGTCTTGGGTAAAGCGAGACCGTCTCTTATTGACTAAAAAACCATCCCGTTCCAAATCCTGCTTCGCGCAAGACGCATTGAGCAACATGTTGCTCTCGCTATTAAACGTGCTACGTTACACTGGAACCACGGTAACCGGTAACCAGCTGCAGTCAAAAGCACTACCATGGAAATTCTGAAACTCTAGGTCTGAGCATGGAGTTTGAAATGAGGGTACGATTACAAAACAGTCACATTTTTGATGGAATGAAACTGAAAGTCGTTTGCACCCTGCAAACGACTTTCATTTTGTTACCACTTTACAGACGAGTTATAAACAAACATTCAAATTCAAATTTACATTATTATATATACACAACGATGATAAACAACGTCCTGAACGGATGCACGGATAACTGAATTTATTGTTTTCAAGTATTTGATTACATTGGAAAATAAATCACAATTAAATTGTAATAATTACTGAAAAAATTTGGAACATGAACAATTACATGTATTACTTAACTAATGTTATGTATAATTAATCTGTTTATTGTTACGCTGGTAATCGAATTGTATATTACTTAAATAATATATAAGTAGTATAATGATAATTATAATTTATCGATATCCCTTTTTGCAAATACAAAAAATTAATGTGATCAGAATACTAAAGCACTTTTATAGCAAACAATTTTGTATGCAAGTGTGTTAATTAATTCTGCCACAAATTAATCTTGCTAGTCATAATATTTCAATATGACTGCGATAATGATATTTCCATCATACAACAGGACAAAGATCTCTCTTAGTACACCACGTCTTGAAACGATAAGCATCTTGTACTTATCAGTTTAGTACGAGCCGACTAAGGGACTACACGTTACAATGAGACTGAGCTGCAGCGCTCTCTGATAAACCTGAACCGTTTGACGAAATTATATTACCTCTAGCTTATCAGCCTAGAATTAATATTGTTCCACTAGATGAACGATGGACGTGATATCTTGAGCAAATATTTATTTATAACATTATTTTTATGAAGTCTTTACACAGCACTATAATTACACTTAATTTGAAGTTTATACTTAGAACGCAATTATAACAGCTACACAATACATAACGTGTAATTAACGAACTATTTATACAATAAATAATTGGTATTTTCGTTGTATATCGACAATTACAATAATTTACTATACCTTTATTAACACGGTTCGTGAAAATTATACACTAGTTTCTTCATTCCATCATGAAGGCGATTGTAGCTTGTCTATTTTGTGTGATATTGCATATCGTAGAAAGTGATGATTCGCTAAGATATGATAATGTTACGTATCAACCTGTTCATCGGCAGTTATTGGACTTTAAGATCAAAAATCCGGTTTGTAAACATCATTGTATATACAATCACGAGACAGGCTCAGACCTGGCCAACGTTATTTGAAAAATGTAAAATATTTTATTGTATTTATTTGTTTTCAGCATCCTATAGGATTATGGACCAAGAACGCTGGAGATCCAGTTGACATACGTGACACAGTGACGATTAACTCGGATCAATTTAGCAACCAATTGCTAATTGATACTTTGTCGACATTAGACGGCGAGAGAATACCTGAACGTATAGTACACGCTAAGGGCACAGGAGCTTTCGGCTACTTTGAAGTCATGCATGATGTGTCCAAGTATACATATGCTGATGTGTTTAATGGAATAGGTAAGAAAACGCCGGTAGTCGCACGGTTTTCGACATCATTACAGCCCCTGGGAGGTACTGACGTTGGCAGAGAACCAAAAGGTATGGCGGTGAAATTTTATACAGAAGATGGAAACTTAGACCTTTTATGCTTATCGACACCCGTTTTTCAGTTCAGAGATCCAATGACACTCAGGGAAGTGTTACATGCATTCAAAGTAAATCCCCAAAGTAATATTCGATTGGATTTTACATCTGCAGTTGATGTATTAACACTTAGGCCTAGTTTAGGTCATAACGCTTTTTGGGTGTTGTCTGATTTTGGTATTCCTGATGGTTACCGACGAATGGATGCTTTTCCAATACATACTTTCGAAATCGCAAATAAACATGGAGAGACACATTATGTAAGATTCAATTTCCGAACTGAGCAGGGTATCGCGATACTCACGTCTGTACAAGCAGCCGCCATTCAAGCTGTAGATTTGGATTACTATAACAGAGATTTATATAACGCGATTGATTCGGGAAAATATCCTTCGTGGAGATTAGAGATGGACGTGATGACGAAACATGATATACAAAAAGTTGATTTTGATCCGTTTGATGTCACAAGACTGTGGAAGAATGGCACATTCCACACGGTACCAATTGGGAAGTTGGTAATAAACAGAAATGTTAAAAATTTGTTTAGAGATGTTGAACAAGCAGCATATAATCCTGCAAATTTAGTACCCGGTATCCCTGGACCAGTGGACTTTTTATTTCGTGGAAGACGGTCTTTCTATAGAGATACTCAAAATTATCGTCTCGGAAGAAATCATAACAAGATTTTAGTAAACATGCCATTGTACGAGAAGACTTATGTACGAGATGGGAGACCACCGACTAAACTTAACATGAAGAATGCTCCCAACTACTATCCTAATTCATTCCATGGACCGGTTCCATATGTAGATGAGCGCAGACCGTTGAAGAGGTTAGAAGTATTAGAGAATAATGCTGTTGATGTGGAGCCAATGTCGTATTTCTATAACCATATCATAAAAGACGAGGGCCACAGGTTGAGATTCATTACTAATATTGCCATACCTTTAGCGCAAGTAACACCGCCAGTGGTTCAAAGACTTCTGAAGCTTTTGTTTTTAATTGATGAGGATTTGGCGACACGTGTCAGGGCTGCTTATGAAGTAGCGCTGGTTGCTCAACAAGCAGCTAATCTAATTCCTACACCTTCAATTGTGTACCCTGGAAATATTCCAACAACTCAGGAAGATCATAAACACAACAGTACAGAAATTCCTAAGTCTGCTAGTTCTAAGTAATATTTGTTTTTAATTTGTACCAGTTTTAATGAGTGGGATGTAACTTAAACATTAAGATGAATTGTTATTATTAAATGTTTTTATCGTTTCTACTTTTTTTTAAACCTTAACATTTATTTACCTACATTTTTGTTCTGTTTCATGAAAGAATATGCTTAAAAGAGATGGACTTACGGTGATAATATTATCCATAGAATATCGACCTACTTAAGTGTTTAGCAGCAGAAAACTATTCTGCAAAGCGCAGCATTCTTGTTTCAGTATCATGTATAGGACATTTAGTTCATTGCACTTCCTGATCACTCGGTCCCGTACAGAAAAATCGGTTTTACAGCTCGCTTGTACATAGTACCTCTGGTGATTGTGAAACATTTACGATCATTGAAGTTATTATTTTTATTAACAAATCTTATTGTTGGGGAGAGTTTTTGGACTGTATAAATGATGATGCTGATTAAAGGTCTAGTTTATTCGACGGAAGGTAGATGTGCTAACAAATATACGGCGCGCAACGCGTACAGTGCTCACAGCTGATCGAGTGGGAAAAGAACGGGCTGCGATCCTCGTCCTCGTACATGTTGCTCCCCGCGCAACGCTGTCCTCCCTCTGATGCCATCGCCAGTGCCGCCTCCATCGACGTCATCGAGATATATGAGACGTTTCCGAACACTTATAATGAATTTAAGTAATGTATTTTATTTAATCTTTATTGTCAAACTGTCAGTGGCGGACAATAGATATCTTAAAAGTGGGTCGTTGGATGCGAATTTCTTTTAATTGATTATGTTCGACTCCCGGCAAGGGGTCTCCGGTTCGACTCCTGGGTCGGGCAAAGTATTACGGGATTTAAAAAAAATCTCAGTTGTAGCACGGAGTCTGGAAATGTGCCCGGCATATGGCAATAGGCTCACCCCTATTACATGGGACTCATAACGTAAATAGTGAAAAGTGGGTGTTACATTGTACTGTGGCCTAATGTACACCTCTGCGTAGGCAGAGTAGGGGTAGGCCTTCGGGGATAAAAGGCGTGATGTTATATTATATTATTTTGGATCATAGCTATCTCATAATTAAAAACATAGAGAACCATGCGGCAAATTAGGTTGGTATGTTGTACTAACTAATGCACTAATAACTTAAAAAAAACATTGCGGCTGTACTACATTATTGTATAGTGATCATTATACTTCTCACAATTGATTTATGTTAATTCACTTACCGGTATAAAAGAAAAATGGAATCATCAGTTTCGAATACAGGTGCAAGCAATACCACTATGAGGACGATTATAGTGCATCTCCTCTGTCTAATAATACATGTAAAAAGTGATGAATACGTAAACGTCACATATCAACCCGTTCAAAGGCAGCTATTAGATTTCAAGAAGGAACACCCGGTAAGTAAACTACCTACTTCCCTAATTGTGTATTTTGACATAATATTCTCACTTTAATACCATAAATGCGGAAATAACTGTAGTTGCCATCATATTATGCTGTCACGACGAAAATAATGAATGAATGCATTTCGATAAAATTACATACAGCAACAGATACCATTTAGTCAATTAGTACTGAATATAATTTTATGAACATGAATAAGACCTCCCTACATGCCATTGGTTTGTTTTCAGCACCCAATAGGATTATGGACCAAAAACGCAGGAGATCCAGTTGAAATTCGCGACACCATAACGATTAACTCTGATCAATTCAACAACCAGCTGCTTATAGACTCATTATCGACGTTCGATGGCGAGAGAATACCAGAACGTGTGGTGCACTCAAAGGGTACAGGAGCCTTTGGTTACTTTGAAGTCACACACGATGTCTCCAAGTATACATACGCCGATGTGTTCAATGAAAAGGGGAAGAAAACACCATTGGTCGTCAGATTCTCATCTGCATTACAGGACGCAGGAGGTACTGATTTTGGCAGAGAAGTGAGAGGTATGGCGATAAAATTTTACACGAATGACGGAAACTTGGACTTGTTGTGTATATCAGTACCTGTCTATTTATACAGAGATCCAATGGTGTTTTTAAATTTAGTACACGGTGTAAAAAGAAATCCTCAGACTAATTTGTTCGACTTCACGAGCCTTTATGACATCATAACATTAAAACCGTCTAATATTCACCAGTTCTTTTGGTCATTGTCTGATTATGGCATTCCAGATGGATACAGAAAGATGGATACTTTCCCCGTTCATACTTTTGAACTTGCAAATGTACACGGAGAGACACACTATGTCAGATTTAATTTCAGAACTGAACAGGGATTCTCGCCACTCACTACACCACAAGCGGCCGCCATTCAAGCAGTAGACCTGGATTACTTTACCAGAGATTTATACAACGCGATTGATTCAGGAGACTATCCTGCATGGAAACTGGAGATGGATGTGATGACAAAACATGACATACAGCATCTGGATTACGATCCATTTGATGTCACAAGGCTGTGGAAGAATGGTACGTTTTTCACTGTGCCGATAGGTAGGTTGGTGTTGAACAAAAATGTCGAAAATCAATTTAGAGATGTCGAACAAGCAGCATATAATCCTGGTCATTTAGTACCTGGTATTCCCGGACCAGTGGACTTTTTGTTCCGTGGTAGACGAATATTTTACAGGGACACTCAAAATTACCGTCTGGGAAGAAACAATAATAAGATTTTAGTAAACACACCATTGTACGAGAAGACGTATGTACGAGATGGAAGACCACCGACTAAACTTAACATGAAGAATGCTCCCAATTATTATCCTAATTCATTCCATGGACCAGTTCCATATGTAGATGAGCTCAGACCGTGGAAGAACTTACATGTAATAGAAAGTAATGCAGTCGACTTGGAACCAGTGTGGTATTTTTACAATCACATTCTGGAAGACGACGCTCACAGAGAGAGATTTATAACCAATCTTGCTATGTCTCTTGCGCCAGTCACACCACCGGTGATACAAAGAGTTTTTAAGATTTTACATTTGATTGATGAAGATTTGGCTAAACGTACTAGGGCTGCCTATGAAGTGGCGGTTGCAGCAGCGGCGGCTCAGCAAGCAGCAGCCGAAGCTTCTAATCAGGCTGTGACTCCTAAGAGGAATTACCCAACCGCAGAAGGTCCCCCGAAACATAACGACACAAAAAGTATATATCAACTGGGTATTCATCATGAACATAATTATCATCATCACTGATTATTATTAATAACATTTCTTTTTATTGTTGTATAATAAATGTAATTGATTGCATTCTATCGAGAAAATACTGAATATAAAATTTTTGATTGCAACTATTTCATTTTCTTTCATCATTTAGATTTGGTTTTTCCTAATGAAAGTACAAGTATTGATCCCTGAAATTGAAATAAACATTACACCTTTCATTTTCTTATTACTATCCTCGAAATTATTCTAATTTAAGGCCGATCCAATATTTTACTAACTGCTACGTTAGCAGAGTGGTCACCAGTGCGACTGCCGGGCAAGGGGTCTCGGGTTCGAGTCGGGCAAAGAATTACTGGGTTTTTTCAAAAAATTGCACGGTGTTTGGAAATGTGCCCGGTATATAGCAATAGGCTCATCCCCTATTACATGGAACTCAGAACATTAATAGTGGAAAACAGGTGTTACATTGTACAGTGCCGTAATGTGCACCTCTGCCTACCCCTTCGGGGATAAAAGGCGTGTATTTATGCGTCAATAAATATAAAATGACAACGGAGGGTTGTGAGTGCGCGTACCGCGTCCTTACAATCTGCCGTCGGATGTACTAACGCTGAAACCGCTGTGCCGTGGCCACGAATTAAGATTTTAAAAGTCTAATTCAAATCCCTGGACATCCAATCACAAGGTGGACAGACATAGGTCATAAGAGTCCTCTGTATGCGAGTTGATTCCAAACGGCGACTTTGGATGTCAGGAGGCATAATTTATGTTCATTAACTAAAAATCGCGGGTTACTCACGTGAATATACTGAGAAAAGCTCTACTAGTTTTGAACCACAGGGGTTCTTTCTCATGAGCAGCGTGCGCGGTCGCGGCGGTGTTGATCTACTACAGACTAGAGCTTTTCTCAGTATATTCACGTGAGTAACCCGCGATTTTTAGTTAATTCTCATGAGAGTTATTATAAAAATGTAGTTTCAGTAATTGTGGCTGATTTCTACATGCCAAAGAAACATGTTTCGACAATTTGATACGAAAGGGCCGGCTCTAATGAAGTGGTATTAGTTTTATAGAAAACAGAACGAAATTACACTTTTATGTTGTGTTTGATTTACCATATTTCCCAATCCTAAATCACAAATATCAATCCCCAGTAAGATGATATAATTAAAACGCTTAAACCGATTCCTGGACTCAAAGCCAAAGTGTGATGTATTTTCGAGGGAAAGAAGTTCATTTTTGTCGAAATGCTTGAAGTTTTGCGAAGGAGATGAATGAATGATAGTAATTAATAATAAATTAATTACTTAAGTTTTGTATTTTATTTTTTCTTTTAAATGTATGCGAATTGATTAGTGTAGTTCGTATTTGTACCGTTCTATTCACATAAATAAAAACATGTTAAAGTCCTTGTTCAATCAAGTATTGTATGAAAGTATATTCATCTGCTTATTTTTTAATAGAAAATGTTGATCAGTAATGCCAGTTGATAGGGTTCAGTAGGGCTGGCCCAATCCGGAGCTGTTGACGACCGAAAGAGTAACTCTACAAGTAACTCTACAGGCTACAAGCAAGAGTAGGAATGAGGTGGGTTTTATTCAGTAAGAGTCTGAAACACTCTCTCTCACCTCACCAAGACGGAAGAAGACATCGGAAGATTTTCCCCCTCAAAAAAAGTTTTAAGGTTCGATATAGTAAGTGTGCAAAGAAAATACAAGCAAAAATTGTGCAGTAATTTTATTAAAGTAGATGATAACTTTTTAATGTCTGTCTGGTGGTGTTCCAGTAGCTTCGGCGTTGTTTGTCAGTCAGTGACACAGTAAGAGCGACACCCCTTTACTGCGTTGCGCTGCGTAGCGTCGCGTCGGTTGTTGCAATGGAAAAACGCATTATACGCCACACCAGAGCTGTGACGACGCCCAAGAGTAAGCTGTTCGTTGACGCAGCGCATCACCATAACTCATCCTTTGTTGTGGCGCGGACGACGCGACGGTGTAAAGGGGCATGTCATAAAAATATATATTTTTAAATAGTAAACGACTCTATGACGACGCAACGCACTAATGGGGCCTCCCTCGCGTTAAATAAAGAGTTTTATATACAAAAATATTTATAATCTTTAGTGGACACAATTTTGTAACATAAAACTATATTATATTACTTAGCAATAGGCTCACCCCATATTACAAACCATAACACAAATAATGAAAAGTGGGTGTTAAATTGTTACTATGTGTACATAGTAACAATTTAACGCCTCTGCTTACCCCTTAAGGGGTAAGCAGAGGTGTACCTCTGCTTACCCCTTAAGGGGATAAAAAGGTGTGATGTTACGTATGTATGTATATTGCTTAAAAAAGAAAGGTGCATTTGTACCTTGCAACTATGTAACTATAAACGAATGTTCGAAATCATACTATACTCCTCATTTTACATGCAAATCTATAATTTCCTCAAGTACTTAGTTCTGAACGGATGAAGTGGCAGAAACTTAAAATTATTTCAAGTGCATTTGATTTACCTGTTGAAAAATACATCTTAATTTACTTTGTATTTAATGAACTTACATTAGAACACAATAGAGTTAACTCCATTAATGCATTAGCTATATTTAGTTAACACGCTAATTAATATTTTTTGTTTGTTTGTTACTAATGGACTCAATAACAACTTATAATTGTGATGTCGGTCAATTGGGGGTACTTTGATAACATTAATTATTGTATGTGTGCGGCAGCCAGTCTGCGAATATACGCCTTGTAGCTAAGTCATTGTTTGATTACGATTCCGATATTTCTCAATAATAAGGTTTAATAAAATTACTGGTAGTTACTTCATCAGTAGACAATATAGATTAGATAATTTGTTACGAACGGAAACACATACACCATAATATGTTCGGTAGCATGTTCACTTAATAGTAGTGAAAGAATGTTACAGAAATAAATCTTTAGATGTTTAGGGAACAGAGAGTATAGTTCCCTAAGATCGGAAAAGGAGGATCCTCCGACCAGGCGAGGTGATCGTGCCTGGCGGGCTTTCTGCCCAACAGTTGTTCGTTGGGATTTTCTATCCGTGTTAAATCCAATGTAAACTTCGCATGTGCGATGTAGGATTTTTATGACGTCATCCGTTAGAATGTACCATGTGTCGCCACAGATGCAACTCATCATGCTTGCGTGACCTCCACAAAAATCATGTATTACGGGCACCTATACAACGAACTTATATTCACCCACACATACAAACACATCAACAGCCTATAACACCCACGGCTGAGCAAAGCGTCTTCTCACACGAAGAAGGTTTGAGCATTAATCACCACGCTTCCTCAATGCGCGTTGGCAACCTACATTCACTATATTATTAAAACTAAACGATATCTTTTAAAAGTGCACCTTTAAGTCCGTACCCCAAATCTATTAGGATTTTCCACCCTCTGAATACACAAAAGGTTTGCAGAGACTGTTATTGTTTATACAATACAAGTGTGGGATAGCCAGGCTTCGGCACGAATGAGTCCGTTCGACCGGAGTGATACTACGGCCTCACAGAAAACCGACGTGAAACAGCACTTGCATTGTGTTTCGTCAGATCATCGGAAGCCCAATTACCCTCAATCATCAATTGGTTTATTCCCTCATAAAAAGACTACGAGTCGAAATACATATTTTAGATCTTAATAAATTATATAAAAAATATCACCTTATAAATATTAATATAAAGAACCATGTCCTAAGTTACGTATGTATCATATCTATATTCCTAACTAATGGATGCTACAAGTAAAAAAATGTTTACGGCTGTACATTACCAGATTGTTCAATATAATTATCATAATGGATTTATAGGCGATTATTTACTTACCGGTAAGTATAAAACAATATGAAGACTTTAGATTCGAAGACACGTGCAATTGTAATATCACCATGAGGACGATTGTAGCGTATCTCTTTTGTCTAATAATACATGTAAAAAGCGATGATTACGTTAACGTCACTTATCAACCCGTTCAAAGGCAGCTATTAGATTTCAAGAAGGCACATCTCGTAAGTAAAACAAATCCATACTTTTGTATTATAAAGAACATATTAGCTTCCGAAATATTATAAATGTGAAACATCTAAATATCGGTCTCATTGGTATGCTTTTAATCCTAAACTAATAAATTGGTTTCATTAAATTAGATACAGTAACAGATACCGTTTTACTAAAGGGTAGTGAAGATATTATTATCGAAATAGTATGCACATGTATGTATAAGACCGACCTACATATTATTGGTTTGTTTTCAGCACCCAATAGGATTATGGACCAAAAACGCAGGAGATCCAGTTGAAATTCGCGACACTATAACGATTAACTCTGATCAATTCAACAACCAGCTGCTTATAGACTCATTGTCGACGTTTGATGGCGAGAGAATACCAGAACGTGTGGTGCATGCCAAGGGTACAGGAGCCTTCGGCTACTTCGAAGTTACGCACGATGTCTCCAAGTATACATACGCTGATGTGTTTAATGGTCTGGGAAAGAAAACACCGTTGGTTGTTAGATTCTCAGAATCAATTCAGAGCATAGGAGGTACCGAAGTCAGCGTAGATCTGAGGGGAATGGCAACAAAATTTTACACAAAAGACGGAAACTTAGATCTTCTATCTTTATCGGTACCTGTCTATCTATACAACGATCCTTTGTCGTTTTTAGATGCTATACATGCAATTAAAAAAAATCCTCAGACTAATTTGTTCGACTTGACAAGCCTTTATGACTTTACAATTTTAAAACCAACCGCTATTCACTTCTTCTTTTGGTTATTGTCTGATTATGGTATTCCGAATGGATATAGAAGAATGGATGCCTTCCCCATTCATACTTATGAACTAGCAAATATACATGGAGAGACACATTATGTCAGGTTCAATTTCAGAACTGAACAGGGATTCTCACCGCTCACTACACCACAAGCGGCCGCCATTCAAGCTGTAGACCTGGATTACTTTACCAGAGATTTATACAACGCGATTGACTCAGGTGACTATCCTGCATGGAAACTGGAGATGGATGTGATGACGCCACATGACATACAAAAACTGGATTATAATCCATTCGATGTCTCAAGACTGTGGAAGAATGGTACGTTTTTCACCGTGCCGATAGGTAGGTTGGTATTGAACAAACATGTTGAAAATCACTTTAGAGATGTCGAACAAGCAGCATATAATCCTGGTCATTTAGTACCCGGTATTCCTGGACCTGTAGACTTTTTATTCCGTGGTAGAAGAATGTTCTATAGGGACACTCAAAATTACCGTCTGGGCAGAAACAATAATAAGATTTTAGTAAACACGCCATTGTACGAGAAGACATATGTACGAGATGGGAGACCACCGACTAAACTTAACATGAAGAATGCTCCTAACTACTATCCTAATTCATTCCATGGACCGGTTCCATATGTGGATGAGCACAGACCGTGGAAGAAGTTGCTAGTATTAGAAAGTAATGCTGTTGATTTGGAACCAGCATGGTATTTTTATAACCATATTTTGGAAGACGAGGCTCACAGAGAGAGATTCATTACCAATCTTGCCGTCAGTCTTGTACCGGTCACACCACCGGTGATACAAAGAGCGTTTAAAATGTTGCATTTGATTGATGAAGATTTAGCTAAACGTGCTAGGGCTGCTTATGATGTAGCGCTTGCAGCAGCGATGGCTCTGCAAGCCGCTGCCAAAGCTACTGATCAGGGTGTGACTCCTAAGAGGAATTACCCAACTGCAGAAGGTCCCTCTAAACATAACGACACAAAGAGAGTTTATCGTTTAGGTATTCATCATGAGCATGACTTCATGGATCATCACTAATAGCATTTCTTGTTATTATTAAATATAGAAAATGTTATCGATTTCATTGTTTTGTATTGATTTTCGTTTGATATGACACCGACACCAGTACACTAATGTCGACGACAGTGGTTTGGCCATTCTTTTTAAATTAAATGTTGTTTTAATATTTGGCTAGGTAAGATCTTGCTTAGATAAGCTTTAGCCTGAAATGTTTTATTCCTACAAAGGTTTAATTGATTAACACAGGACTGCACAGTTGGTGCGGTGGCTGGGCAATCAGATGCCGTGCAACGTGTCGTGGGTTCGATTCCCGAACGGAACAATATTTTGTGTGATCCACAAATTGTTGTTTCTGGTCTGAGTGTCATTGTGTATGTAAACTTGTATGTTTGTAAACGCACCCATGACACAGGAGAAAATTCCAATGAGGGGCAACGTTTTTTTATTAAAAAAATAACTATTGCAGCGGAAGGTTTTTCTGTGAAGAAGAAGAAGAAGTTTCCTGCATTCCCATATTAGACTGTCCACAAGAGCAGGTTTGAAAATGGACACACATCTATTTTTGGTTATAATTAGATTATAATCAAGCTGAAACTACTGAACGGATTTTGATGACATTTGGTATATTGGCAGGGTATGGGCTGACTTAGGTGATAGGCTATTTTTTATCCTGATTAAATGCTCCCATGGGATAAAACAAGAACACGTGAGCAGAGCCGCGGTTAGAAAATAGTTGTAAATATGTAAATGCAGTTTCAAAAAGTTGTTTAATTTATAAACGATAATTCGGAAATACAATGCACATAGTCGACAGACTGAAGTCTTCACGTATTTCCTTCACGGTTCCGTTAAACTGAAGCTTGGTCATTGTTCTCGGTCGAAGTCTTTATCAATGGGATGTCCTCAGGGCTCGGTTATCGGTCCGTATTTATGGAATTTAGGATTTGATGATTTGCTCGCGATTCCCCTTCCTTGTGGCTGTACTTTGACTGGATATGCGGATGATGGCCTTTTGCTAGTACAGTCAAATACCCGCGCCGGACTGGAGAATTTGGCTAAAGACTGTCTCAGTAGGATCTCGCGATGGGGCGAACGAAATCGCTTAACTTTTGCACCCCATAAAACTTACCAGCTATTGCTTAAAGGAAATCTAAAGTCGTGGCCGTCTATTAAATTTAACAACGTTTCCGTAAAACGAAAGGAGTCGGTTTGCTATCTCGGTCTAGTTTTGGAAAAAAACTTTTCTTTCATTGAGCATATTAAGGCTATTAGTGAGAAAGCCAAAAAAAACTTCTATGCGCTGACGCGAATTTCAAAAGCCACCTGGGGTCTCTCTTTTCTTACGCTCAGGATCATATACGGAGCAACCTACCTGGGATGCGTGTGCTACGGGGCACCTGTCTGGGCTGATAGGGCCACAATAGGCGCGGTACGGCGAAAACTTCTTCAAGGCCAGCGTCTAGCCTTGATTTTCCTGTGTAAGGCTTATAGGACGGTTAGCACTGAAGCCCTACCTGTGCTCGCGGGCGTACTTCCGGTAGATCTTGAGGTGCAGCGACGTGCTGCTATGTACTACAGTGCGAGACCTAATTTGTCAGCAAGCTTTCTGGCAGAACGTGATAGAAATAAAATTGCAAGATTGTTTAAGCCAATAACGGACGTTTGGGATGAGCTTATAACTGAATGGCAGGGTAGATGGGCATCTTCTATTAAGGGCCGCCACCTGTATCAGTTCTTTCCATCCGTGCATGAGCGGCTGGAGAGGACATGGTTGGAGGTGGATCACTGTGTTGCCCAATTTCTTACTGGCCACGGCAACTTTAAAGGCAAATTGTTCTCATTTAAACTTATTGATTCACCATGGTGCCAATGTTCGACAGAGGAGTTGCGATACGAGCAGTCGGCCCATCACATACTCTGGGAGTGTGATCTCTGGCAATATGAACGTAACACTATGTTAAATAATTTAATTGTTTCGTCAGGTGTAGTTTATTATACGGACCTTGTGGAATCTAGAACGAATTTCCGTGCGTTTAGGCGTTTTTGCCATACCTATTATTGGAAGCAAGTATAACAGCTCACACATAGGACCCACTTAGTTTTTAGTCAAATTTCCGTGGTGCTTGGCGACTGGGCTTCACCCAGTTGTACAGTCTCTTCTTTGTGCCTTTAGGCTTAATTCATTCTGTCTCCTGCAGTAATTCACCGAGGGAAGTGAAAACCATAGTTTTTCTTCTTCTCCTCTTATAATATCTTCTGATTCACTTCGTTGCGGGAACCAAGACAGTTACTCGTGTCCCTGGGACGCGCCGGACTTCAGTGTTCAGGTGTTTTCATGGTTGTATCTACTGTAGATCCTGGCTTACAGGAGTTGCAGCGGTTTTGGGAGGTTGTGGCGGGCTTGTCCCATAAAAAAAAAAAGACTGAAGTCTTAAGAAGCGGCTGGATGCAGGTTGCTTCCTACCGGCGAATGTAGAATTCATTGAAGAGGCATTCGTTCAGTAATTTTTGGGCCTGTTTTTCTCATGAGTGAGAGCCATACTTAAATCCATGGGTGATATAATACAATGGCCATTCCTAATTTCCAATACCTAATCCTTAAAAAGTACCGCGTCGCGTTCCGCGCGCGCCTCAAAGAGCCATCAGACCACCACGGATGGGGTGCAATAGGGCTGATGCCGATACGGAGCCGCGGAGAACTTTACGGATTGCCGGGGCTCCGGCTCGAAGGGTAGGAGTAGAAACGAGGTGGTTCTTAGTCAGTAAGAGTCAGTCACTCCCTCACGCCTCACCCAGGGGGAAGAAGTCATTAGATGGTTTTCCCCCATCAAAAATAATCCTTAATAGGGCGGCAACACACTTGTGAAGGTCATTGTGAAGGTCTTCTCCGGCACGGCATTTTTTGCTCTTTGGAAACAATACAAAATGGTTGTAAGCTGTCGGCGCGAGATTTATAATTGGATTAATGTTATGAAATATATCATATTACATAAGATGTAATGTTCAAATTTATATAACAAGTTATTTGATGGGTTGGAGTTGAGCCAGTTAACCCTTATTGGCAATCACATACCACCTAAGTATAAACTCCTCATCAATACAAATTAATCAAACCCAAACACAATGTAGCTACTGTCAACCGTTGAGGAGTTCCCTCAACTATGGTAGTATTTCATCATCAGACCCTTATTGGCCATCATATACCACCTAGGTATAAAGTACTCATCAATACAAATTAATCGCACCCGAACACAATATAGCTACTGTTAACCGTTGAGGAGTTCCCTCGACTGCCTATCGGCTCCATCATCAGATCAGCTCCAGACCTTTCTCAGATTGTAGTGGTTTTAAATACTTAACGAAAAAAATAAAAAATGTACTAGTCGCCCCTATAATTTTTAAAAGAACCCCTCGTTTCTCCTGGGATTCCATCATCAGATCCTGACTTCATGACATCATGACCATGGGACCAAATGACAAGCTTACCCTTTCAAACAAAAATTTTTGAAATCGGTCCAGGCGTATTCCGCTAATCGAGTAATAAACAAAAAAAATACAGTCGAATTGAGAACCTCCTCCTTTTTTTTTAAGTCGGTTAAAATTAGTTTCAAGTAAGTTCCTCGATAAATGATGAGTTATTGATTTTGCGCGTCGTATTTTTAGGATTCATTGTAAATAATTGTGGAGAATAGAATTATAGTGTCTGTATTTTGATCTATCTAGAAAAATATGGATCTTCAAACCAGGCTATGTCCGCAGAGGTTACCGGGGCTTCGGCTCGAAGTAGGCGTTGGAACGTGGTTTTTAGTTAGTAAGAATATCTTTCTTTCGCGTTACACAGAGTAGAAGGAGGCATTTTATGATTTGAAACCTCTCAAAAAATTTACGTGATCGTACCCACCTGGGTCATGTTGTGTCTGAGAAAGTTGGGATTGAGTTTCTTTTCAATTAATAAATGAATAATCGTTGACAAAATTAGCAAAAAAATATAAAGAAGAAACTATATTGTCTATACTAATATTATAAAGAGGAAAGATTTGTACCTACCTCTATTTTTGTATGTTTGTAATGAATAGGCTCAAAAAGTACTGGGCCCATTTAGAAAATTCTTTCACCAATAGAATGCTAGAGGTACATTCTTCCAATTTGACATAGGCTACATTTCATTTTGAAAAAAAATTAGGGATCCTTGGTAAAATTTGAACAATGTAACCGAAGCTGTAGAAAAATGAGTCTTAAAATGTCTTTCGTTGAATGCGCTGCCGAAACTATTAGCGATAGAACAAAATAATGTGCAACAATATTGAAGAACATCATAATGTCTACAAAAAACTCCGCGGTAGCATATGTCCAACTATTGTAGTTATGTCACTACAACAATCCTTTCCAAAAATAAATAATTGTCTACCCCGTGCGAAGCCGGGACGGGCTGCTAGTTGTCTATATAATGACACAAAGAACCGTGCATCAAATTAGGATATATCTACGTACATCTAACTAATGGATGCCACAAATAAAAAAAATGTTTATGGCTGTACGTTACTATATTGTTCATTATAATTATCATAATGGATTTATATACGATTATTTACTTACCGGTAAGTAGATAAGAAAATGAAGACCTTAATTGCAAAGCAATACCATCATGAGGCCTATTATAGTGCATCTCCTCTGTCTTATAATACATGTAAAAGGCGATGATTACGTAAACGTCACATATCAACCCGTTCAAAGGCAGCTATTAGATTTCAAGAAGGAACACCCGGTAAGTAAACTACCTACTTCCCTAATTGTGTATTTTGACATAATATTCTCACTGTAATACAATAAATGCGGAAATAACTGTAGTTGCCATCATATTATACTGTCACGACGAAAATAATGAATGAATGCATTTCAATAAAATTACATACAGCAACAGATACCATTTAGTCAATTAGTACTTAATATAATTTTATGAACGTGAATAAGACCTGTCTACATGCCATTGGTTTGTTTTCAGCACCCAATAGGATTAT